CAAACAGGTCTCCTAAATAAGGCTGCAGGTACCAGGTTTCAAGCTTTCTGTGAACAAAAGATACTGTTGTGATGCAGCACAATTGCCTTCTCTGTTTTTTGTTTTGGTGTTCTATCTTTCCTGTGGTTTTTGGCAGACTTGTTTTCTGCTAAATTTCTCTTCTTTTTTTTCAGCTTATAAGAAGTAATTATCCTGCCATTGCAGGATGGTCAAAGTGAGCTAAGTTTCCTTAATAAGGTGGTGTCAGTGGAAGCGTTGATTGTTCCAGCTGAGCATCTGGCATGTGCTTCAGTGGGATTTTTGGTGAGGGTGTCAGATAAACTCCACAGGTGAGAATGGAGAACAGCAGAGTAATCTTGTTCAAGACTGGATTGCTACCAGAGGGAAGAGAGCTTTGAAAGCTGCCAACATGGAAAGTCTCAAAGGGAGGATCTGTGACTTGGGTGCATAATTTATGACTCTGGTCCCCTACCCCAAGCCTTTTAGGATAAACAAGCATGCCTTTGAAACGCTACCTTTTGAAGAAGCTCCCTGTATTGTTTTCCATTTTTTATGAGAGATCTATCCTCCAGATTGACCCTGGAATGAATGCATAGCAATGTTCACAAAGCCACCCAATCTGTGCAGTGTCTTGTCTCATGTACACGCGGGAATTCTCTAGAGCACTTTTCCCAGGATCAGCTCTTTGTCTGACATGCGGGTATATTTTGGGGGCACCATAGTATGATAGCTTGCAGAGAACAAGGAATGTACTACCTAACAAAATTATCTATTTTCAAAGTCAAAGGATCCCCACCCCCCAATAAATTGGTTTATGTACAAGGGAACTCCATCTTTCCTTGCTATTACAAATTCAGGGTAAATTCTAAGTGGAAAATAAAAAAGGAAGAAAAACTTTTAATAGATGATAATTTTAGTTTTTCCTCCTATGGCAGTAGCTCTTTTTTCTTCAGCCATTTTTGGAGGAAAAAAGAATCAGAAAAGTATTATCACAAACATTAATGCTCAAAAGCTGGCTCTTCTTTTTTACAGGACAGGGTATAGAACTTTTCTTTTTAAATTTATCAAGAGACATGTTGTAAGGAATAATTCTTTGATAGACCTCGGTCTATACAGTTGGAAGGGATAAAGTAAGAAAGATCAGCAAAATGAGGCAAGATGTGTACCACAAGTCTGCAATTGATGGCTTGAAATGTAGGTATGTTTCAAGCTTAGGGAGATTTATTCCTAACACTGGAGAACAGAAAAATTATAGAAAGTAAGAAAATCATGTTGCGATGAATATTTATGGGACTTTTCCCAAGTTCCACACATTTATTGAGCTATGAAGGGCTTCCATTTGCATGGATTAATTGACATGGGGAATATCCTTGGATCTTGTGAAAAATGATTATGTAAGCCCTATAAATTCATAGTCCTGTGAAAGTAGAGGTAGTTGTCGACTTACCAACAGTTCATTTAGTGAACTGAATTACGAGTTTTTCACACTTATGACTGTTGCAGCATCCCATGGTCATGTGATCAAAATTCAGACACTTGGCAGCTGGCTCATATTTGTTAAGCCTGGATTCTCCAACGGGTGTTAAGGAAAACAAACTAAACAGAACGTGCAGCGAAGTCAGATAGGAAGACAGGTAAATGTGTGAGATAAGTTTTCTAGTTAACATGCAGTAAAAATACAGATACGCTTGTGCTATCAAAAATATAGTTTATTCCATTTAAGAATTATAGCATAGTCAAATAACGGTCCATTAGTCATATATCAATTTCAGTCAAGTCTTGTCAGGGATACTCTATTTGCAAAGTCCGTGTTGAATAGCCAATGTCAGTACACTTACTATAAATCAGTCCAATCTTATCTTCTCTCCGTTGAGAAAAATCAACACTCCTACAAGAACGCAGAGAGCGAGCTGCATTGCCTCGCTTCTTATATAGTGCTTTTACAACCACACCCTTAATTACATTCTTGCTGTTAAAGTTACACACACTTTAACTAACAAACCATGATACCATATTTATTATTTTTACCCAAACCAGTTAGGGTAAACAATGTTATCCCTAACAATATTTATGACGGTTGTAGTGTCATAGCATAGAAATTTTGGACTCAATTGTGATCATTAGTTGAGGATTACCGGTATAATGTCTAAGAGGTTTTTTTTAACATGAACTAATTATTCACTGGATTAATGACATGATGTTACTTGCATTTTATGAACAAGTTGCTTAAAGAAATACATTATTTATGGATAATGATAATATATGATGATTTTTATTGAAATTGGGGTAAAGTTAAATTCATATATTTTGCCCCATTTTATGTCTTTTCTTGCCACAGATGTGAAGTTAATTACTACCGTTAAATTAGTAACATGGTTGATAAGTGATTTTGGCTTCCCCTATTATCTTTGCTTCTTAGAAGGTTGCAAAAGGTGATTACATGATCCAGGACACTGCAACTGCCCATAAATATGAGTCAGGGGCCAAGAGTCCAAATTTTGATTATGTGACCACGATCTATTTGTATGTGTAGACTTTTTTCCTCGAGTCAGTGCTGCAGAGAGATTGCTGCCATTTGAGAGATTATATGAGGAGTGGAACTTCATCACTGAGCACTTTGGTTTTAATCGTTCTTAACCAGGGTTATGGTAATGAGGCATTATAGAAGAGAACTATTATGTAAGGAATCACTACTGGTTTATAATAGGGGGAAGATGCTACTTACACAGATTAGGGATTATTTATACGTAAGGGATGTTTTGAGCACTATCCTGTTTAAAACCATCTTCCGAGAGAGAGCACTCTGTGTTTTTCTTTCCCGAATTTTGTTTGATATCTTCAAGTTCAGTATAGGATATTCCTGTGATTATGATTAATTGTGGCATTAATATTTCTGCTTTATATAACTGGATGTTGTCAGTCTATTGTCCTTGCTAAGTAATTCATTAAAAACAGTGTTTTATATCTGAGGAATGCTGTTCTTGTATTTCATATCTCTTTTTTTCATGAGACATAGCAGTTAAGCTAGCTACTTAGTCATCTGCAGTTTTTCTTAACCCGGTGCTCATCCAGTAGTCCATATGATCCCCAGAATTTATGGGCAACAACTCATCCAAGTTAGGGGAAAATGCTGTAATGTTTTTAACTAGTCTGCTTTTGTCCAACTCTTTTATTAGAATAGTGCTGTGGGACATCATTAAAAATGCAAGTAGATATTGTTGGGACCAATTGTTTATCAAAGAATTTCCTCTGCATTTTGCATAAATATATTCCATAAAGCTGATTGGTAATAACAGCTTCCTAAAACTTTCTACCGTAGTATTCTACTGTAATATTTAAAGGCATGAAACTGAGTGCTTCACTTTATTTCATATATATTTTTCATACCTTTATGTCAATGCTGCAGGAATTTTCGAAGAGGGCTGTTGCCATTTTTAAGATCTGCTGGGTTTGTTCTCTTTCCTCTTCCCTTAGTTTTTTCATCAGTACTGGGAGATGAATTGTGCATTATTTTCATTTAAAAGGGTAGGTTTTACAAATACCTTTCTTCTCAGTCTTGATATTTCCATCTTTATATCCTTGTACATGATTAATAGTGTTAGAAAAGCTGGTTTGTGTTGCTTGTGACTTCTCCATTATGTGTGAACGAAGCTACTGTGGTTTACACGCTGTAAGCTTTTTACTGTGACATGTAAAAATATAGTCTGCAAACCTTGTGTAAAAGGGAGCCTTTGTGAAAGTCTGCATTCTGGGGGGAAAAAATCTCCTGGGTTAAAAGCTGAATGTGTTAAAATGTAGTTTCACAATTGCACAGTCACAGAATCTCCTATTCCCACAAAACCTTATTATGTAAGTGATTCCAGGCAGGAATTGCTACTTCGATTTAGCAATACCTTTATTATAATTATAATACAGGGAGGGGGAAAAAAGAATCCCTATTCTCAACACGTTGCCTTTCTGATCCTATCTATTACTCCCCTATGGCTGTTCCATTTAAATAGCATACCAACTAAGCACATACATTATAATGTTTTTTTCAGAACTTTAAAGTAATATGGGGCCAATTTGTAACTTTATAATGTTTGGATGGAAACAGATCTGAGACTATTGCAAGCTAATTCTGCTGACTGCCAGCAGTTCGATTCTCATGGCTCAAGGTTGACTCAGCCTTCCATCCTTCCGAGGTTGGAAGCTGACTCTGTAAACTGCTTAGAGTGTGCTGTAAAGCACTATGAAGTGGTATATAAGTCTTATTGCTATTTTATATATTATTTTTGCACTATCATTATCACATTAGGCTTTCTGCTCGGAGTGGGTCTTTTTCTCGCTGTAAAAAACTGATAATTTTTATCCTAAAATATTTATATTTTAGAATAAAAACGTAATTAAGTAAAAGTTTTCACATACCTCCAGATTTCTTGCATAAAATGTTAGTCATGCTGTTAGCCATAAAATGTTGAGTACCAAATACTCAACACTGAATACTGGTTAAATCTAAAAAAAACTTTTTAAGACAAGTTAGATGCAATAAATTGACACAGGCATCCTCATTTGGTGCCCCTCAGGTATGCAGAAATGTAAAGCAAAGTTTTGAATGTATGTGCGTCTGTCAGTGTACATCCATAACTATATGGTTAAATGTTAATGAACAAGCATCAGTCTGTCTAATGTGTGTTATGAAAGATATTTAAAAGAGCCCTGGTAACCCTGGTTAGAATGCAGTATTGCAGGCTAACTCTGCCCACAGCCTGGAGCTCAATCCTGATGGGCTTGAAGTTGACCCAGCCTTCCGAGGTTGTAAAACTCCAGGACCCAGATTGTTGAGGACATATGATGACATTGTAAACAGCTTAGAGAGTGCGGTAAAGCTTTATAGAACAGTATATAAGTGCTGTTGCTATTTCGATGTCCTCATTCAACTAAATGACAAGATAAATTTACAGCAGATTATAAACAAAAGAGCTGGTTCTCCCTGACTTTATCTTCCTTTTCATTTATAGGAAGCTATCAAAGAAAAATGCCAACAGAACCACGCACGGCTGGAACGTAATCATGTGTACAGAGAAAGTCCCTTAAATTGTCTGAAAGGTTCCAAATGTTGTCTGAAATGCTAAGGAGGAAACTTCGTCACTGTGGTATCCTACGGTTTAAACCTCTTTGGGTGTTAGTTTGTACAGTTGGAATCTGGTCTTATATTATGGTTCACCAGAAACCAACCTACCAAGATTATGAGCATTTGAAACTGACTGGTGAACATCCTAATACAGTAAACTGTTCCAAGGTACTAAAGGGTGACACAGAGGAAATTCAAAAAGTAAAGCTTGAGCTGTTAACAGTCTCCTTTAGGAGAACCCCCAAAATGACTTCAAATGACTATATCAACATGACAGTTGATTGTGCCTCCTTTATTAAGAGGCGGAAATATATTATGGAACCTCTTAGCCAAGAAGAAGCAGAATTTCCCATTGCATATTCAATAGTGGCTTATCATAAAATTAATATGCTTGAGAGACTTCTGAGAACCATCTATGCTCCTCAAAACTATTACTGCATTCATGTTGACAAAAAGTCCCCAGAGTCTTTCTTGGCAGCTGTAAAAGGGATTGCATCATGTTTTCACAATGTCTTCATTGCCAGCCAATTGGAAAATGTAGTGTATGCATCATGGAGCCGGGTACAAGCTGACCTCAACTGCATGAAGGATCTCTACAGGAGGAATGTTAGCTGGAAGTACTTGATCAATCTCTGTGGCCTGGATTTCCCAATCAAGACAAATCAAGAAATTGTGGAGAAGTTGAAAGCCCTCAACGGTGAAAATAGTTTAGAAACGGAAAAAATGCCTTCAAACAAAGAGGTGAGATGGAAGAAACATCATGAGATAGTTGATGACAAGGTAAAAAATATGGGGATAGACAAACAGCCTCCACCTCTCAACACACCCATTTTCTCTGGAAGTGCCTATTTTGTTGTTACTAGGGAATTTGTGGAATATGTATTAGAGAACAGCAAAATTCTTGCTTTTATAGAATGGGCTAAAGACACGTACAGTCCTGATGAATACTTATGGGCTACAATTCAGCGAATCCCTGAAGTTCCGGGTGCAGCATCTGCCAGTGACAAATACGATGTTTCCGATATGAATGCCGTTGCCCGGTTTGTGAAGTGGCATTACTTTGAGGGGGATGTATCCAAGGGTGCTCCTTACCCACCTTGCAATGGAGTTCACATCCGTTCTGTATGTGTCTTTGGAGTGGGAGACTTGAGTTGGATGTTACGGAAACATCATTTTTTTGCCAACAAGTTTGATACTGACATTGATCCTTTTGCAATTCAGTGTCTGGAAGAGCATTTACGAGACAAAGTGCTACAACAACGTAGACACTGACATGCAGTGGTTTTTTTTTATGGTACACGTCTTTCTCATTTGATTAAATTGGCAGAAAAGAGATGGAAAATCCAATACCCCCTTTTTGTTTTTAAACAAAGCTTGTAGGGTGATTAGCTGATTGTGTCCCCTGAGCTTTCTTAATTCTATTTTTTTTTCTAAAATAGTTCTATTACAAAAATTCTCTTGCAAGAGGCCCCACAAGATTTTAGGCATGAAACAAGATTCTCCAGCTTACAACTGAAAGACACTCTGCTCACCTCGCCTCCGTATCTTTTAAAGAATTCTATTAGACATCAAATAATCTCGATCCTTAGTTTGTGTAGCCACTAAGACTACTTTCCTTAGTGGAAAATGGATAATTTTGAGGACAGTAAGGAGACAGAACTAAGTAGTCATGGTGGAAAAGATAATAAGATTAAGAGAAATTTATGGGATTATGAAACAGGAATTTGAAGTATATTTATGTCTCTTATAGACAAATTACTGAATTCTGCCTCCCCCCCCCTTTCAAACTGTACCAGCAATATTTACATATACACAGCAATATTTATATATACACAAAATACATGGAAGTTGTTTTTTTCTAAGCTTAATTTTTTGGATAGACTCTATTCTTCAGTTTTGTATAGAAGTTTTGTCTACAGAAATGTAGTAGAAGCCTCCCAGTTAAAATATTCTCAGGGAAATAAAATGTATGCCTGTTTGTGTTCATTTTAATATAACTTGATGGAATTTATGTTTGCTGCTTGCCAGATCATTTGTCACTTTTCCATAAAGGGAGAACAAAACAAATAATAGAATTGCTGATTCATGATAGGTACTTCCTACCATTAGTTTTGCTACTAGAAATTTTTGAATCTTCCAAATTGGAAAAAATGTGTCCTGTTTAAGTCTTCTTTTTATGCTAACTGCAATAAACTCTTCAAAAGGGAAGGAGTTAACATATTTCAGTTTTTAATAAATCTAAGCGGCAGAACAAACAAGACCTAGAACAGGCATAATAAATGCTTCTTTTTACAGCTAGAATTCTATTCCTTTTCCTGGTGTCTTTCCCGATGCTGACTTGGAAACAATTTTTGGAGATGGCATGAGGTATAAAATAGGACTTCAGTTTCTTGCTGAACATCCAAGTGTTCCAAAATAGCCCATAATTAAAACTGCATTGGATAGAATTGTATCTACCTGCTGCAATATATTATGTCAAATTATATTTCTATACTACTGGGTTTTTACATGTTTTATTTCTTAGGTTTTTATTTCTTTAAAAAAGGAGACAAAGTCTCCTTCAAGTTGAGTTGGGTTCTTGTTGACATCAAGATGAAAGCCCATCAGGTTTTCTTGGCCAGCATTAGTGACCAGCGCTGAGGATTTTTATTTATTTATTTATTTATTAGTCATCCTCATGTAGCCTTACAGCAGGGGTGGGCAAACTACGGCCCGCGGGCCACATCCGGCCCGTTGGTCTGTCCAATGCGGCCCGCCCCTGAAAAAAAATCGCTGCCATTGGTCTGTCCAATGCGGCCTGCCCCTGAAAAAAAATCACTGGGCGTGGCGTATTGCCCTGTGCCGCATGGCCCCCAAAGCTGCAAAACAGTGCGGAGTGATCTAGGGGTAGGAAAGAAAAGAAATTTGCAAAGGCC